AGTGCACAGACAGGGCTGACATCCCTGCAGCAGAACCAGGGCACTGCCCAGCACCCAAACAGCCTGAAAGCTTTCACTGTGAGCCCGCATCCCGCTCCATTAGCCTGGAGCACAGGACATTATCTCTGGCACGCTGTCAGCCATCGACCCAGCCCAGGAATGCTCCTGTCCCTCTGGGGAGCTGCTGCCAGCAGTGCCACCCCTCAAAGCAGAGCTGCTGCTCACTGCTGGCCATTCCATATGGGAAAGCAAAATATCTGAGGGACAGAAGGACGGTGAGCAAAGCAGGGGAATGAGCTCATCAGCAAACACAGCTGTGGGACAAAGTGTGGCCATCACTGATCAGGCCACGCCACGTCCTCCAGGAGAGGGGCATCAAATGGGGACAAATCTGGTTTCCCTGTAAAACAAAACAAACTTTGTACAAGTGAGGGTGGGAACACCAACCTGGCAGGTTGCCCTGCTGCTGTTTGTCCTGATATAGCCCCGCATGTTCTCTGCAAGGTCAGGGCCAAAAACATTAATGGTGCTTTAAAATGAAGTGTGGGTCCTCAGGGAAAGAGGACACAGGCACAAAAAAAGCCAGGGAAGTTTTTTCCTGCAAGTAAAGATACATCCTGCATTTAGCTAACACATAAGGAAGTGGTTTGGGACTTGTAACACCTGGTACACTGAGAAAGCAGCAAGTCCCTGGAAACATCACTTCAGCTGTGTATAAATACTCACTTTATCACCACACACCAGTGCTACAAGTGTAACTGCACAATCCACCCTGACTCCTCCTGGGCCTGGGACTGCCCTGCTCCCAACAGAAGCTGGGGCATTGCTCAGTTCTGAAGCTCTTCCAAATGCAGGCATAATCACAGTTGCAGAATCACTGAGGCTGGAGAAGTCCTCTGAGTCCATCCAGTCCAGCCATTCCCCCAGCACTGCCAAGGCCACCACCAACCCATGTCCCCAAGTGCCACCTCCACAGGGATTTTAAATCCCTTCACCAATGGGGACTCCACCATGGCCCTGGGCAGCTGTGCCAGGGCTGGAGAGCTTTTGTGGGGAAGGAATTTTCCCAATATCCAACCAGAACCTCCCCTGGCAACCCTTGAGGTCCCTGCTCCCTGGGAGCAGAGCCTGAGCCCCCCTGGCTGTCCCCTCCTGTCAGGAGTTGTGCAAAGCCACAAGGTGCCCCCTGAGCCTGTTCTCCAGGCTGAGCCCCTTCCCAGCTCCCTCAGCCCCTCCTGGGGCTCCATTCCCTTCCCTAGACACACTCTGTCCTGTACCCGGGGACCACAAAATTGCCCCCAGGACTGGAGGTGCCTCAGCAGTGCCAGCACAGGGGATGGACACTGCCCTGAGCCTGTGGCCACACCATTACTGCTCTCCAGTAAAGATCTACAGCAGCAAGTTCTTAAGCAAATTTAAGAGTGAAACTACCCAGCTAAAAACCACCTTTTCTGAGCCTGATGTGTTCTTCTGCGCAAAGAAGGATTAAAGCAAAGAGATGTGATGGAAAGTTGGATATAAATAACTGATGTTGCAACCTCCAGCTCCTCAGAGCTTGGGAGGCATTCACAGCAAGGACCACAGGGGCACCTAAGAAGCTGCAATGCAAGAGTGACTCAGAGCTGAAAGCAGCTCAGCGCTTCTCTGAGCCATCCTTATCACCTCCTTTGTGGCAGCCACCTTTTGTTCAAGTATCAGACAGCAGATCGCCCCCATTTGCATCGCACGTGGCTCCAGCTAATCCTCCTGCCCTCTGCCTCCTCAGCCTCCCAGGCAGGAGAAGTCAGCAGCTCCCCTTAAGCGAACACCGGGAAATCTCGCATGAGGAAACACGCTGGTTCGAGGAGCAGCCAAGGATCCCGTATTGAACACTGCACTTCCTCCCCACACCGGCTGCCGTGCCCCATTTCCTGCCCCACTCGGCAAGTTCCCTCCACAATTTCCTCCTCTCTGCACCACAGCGGCCAGGACAGCTCTGTGCTCCTGGGGGTGATCTGCTCTGCAGGGGGATCACACCTTGAGTTACAGCTCAGCCCACTGTATGTACCCCGGGCCACTGATCTCCTTTCCAAAGGTAAAAACTGAGAGTAAATAAAATACAGTTGTTTAGCAACAATACAATACCTGGTTCCTCAGCACCTGGGAGTATTTATGAGCAGCAGTGCTGCTGGATTCACAGCAGAACCAGAGGAGGGAGGAGCACTGCAAGCCCTCATCATCCCTTCAGCCCTGGAAGGTCACCTGCACTTCCCACCTGGAGCATTTCACCTTGCAGTGTTGTACAAAGAGCTGAGTGAAGCAATTTGGAGCTCAGACAATATGCTGACATGCAGAATTACCCTGCCTGCTTTGTCTCTGTTTCCTCATTTCAGAGTACACATAATCCTTGTCCAACTCGCCACGGGAAGGAAATCCCTAGGAACTTACCTGTGGCTCCTCACAGAGCTAAAGGATGGCTCAGCCAGAGGCCAAAGGAGGCACACGGGTGTCCTTGTGACTCAGCCCTCCATCCCAACAGGAACCAGGGGACAAAGTCACCTCAGGAGCAGGGCTGCAGGGGTCCTGGGGACACTGACACCACAGCATTTTCCTCCCCAGGGGATTAAGGAACCTCCACCTACCAGTCTGTGTCTGTTTGGGCAACACTGATCCCCAGAAAACACTTGTAAGCACAAGGGAAGCAGCAATCCAGCTCTTGGCAGGGCAGAGCCCATGGTTTTTGCCCCAAAGTGCTCTTTATCCCATCACAGGAGCACCAATCCTGACTGGCCCCACCAAGACCTGGGAACATTTGCTCACACACAATTCCTGCTCCCCATTCCCATTCTTTCCCACCCAACAGAAACCACCTGGACCCATAATAATGAACCTCTGCCAAGAGACTCACCAGCTTCTGCGCCACGATGTTGTAGTGGCTGAAGGACTGGAGCAGGGCCACAAAGCAAACCTTGCAGCCAGCTGGGGAGGGACAAAAGCACACATTAGCAGTTCCACTTTGCAGCTGACATTATCAGAGCTCATAAATTACAGCAGCTAGGCCACAGATCTGTCTGGAAAGACCTTGAAGTGATGCGGGTCTACACAAACCCTTCTTTGCTTTCAATTCTCACCCTTCTAGAGGATATCTGAATTAGTGAGTGTTATTTAAAAAGAGAGGGAAAGAAGCAAAAAGTTGACTTTAAAAAGTGTAAGGCCCCTTTTCTGTCTTGTGCCAGGCCAGCCTGGCACCTGCTGATCCTGTTTGCTGGTGTTACAGTAAGGAGGCCAAGGGCCAGCTGTGACACTGAACTAGTGAAACCACAGACATACCAAAAATTCCCATTTTGGCTCTCACAGGGCAAGTGACCTTGACTGGAAAATCACAGAACGGGGAATTGTGTCAGAGACCTAAATAAAAAGTGATTTTGGAACACAGTTTGGGTATGAACATAACCATGTTTGTTGGACACGGATTTCAAGTAGAACAAATCAATGGCCCCACGTGAACCCTCAGATGTCCCAAAGCTTTTGGGCACCAAGTGGACAACACGAGGGTGCTGCAAACAGGGAGTAACTGCACCCAGGTCCGGGGCTGGTGACAGCCAGCACACCTGTCCTGAGACACATTCATGTCCCACAGGGCTGCCCACCCACCAGGGATGGAAGGCTTTTCCCAGGCACACAGGCAGCTCTGTTCAGCAGCTCCCAGGGCACTGCTGTGGGGCAGGACATCAGCAGAGCCTGAGACAGTGTCTGCCAGGTCTCTTTGAACCATTCACACTGTTACCAACCCACCTTCCATGGGATTTCCTTCAGTTTCCCTCTGTTCCATTAAGTAAAAAATATTTCAAAGCAGGGTGAAGCCCCATTTGAGGCAGTGGCAGCTCTGGGGGCACAGTGTCCTCATCCCATGCCCTGCCCAGCACTCTGAGCTCCCTTTCAGGTTGCTGGGCTGGTGGCTGTGCCAGCAGAAAGCTGGAGGAGTCCCTGAGTCCAGCGCTTGCCCTGCAGGGGCCAGGAGGTTGCTCACAGGGAAAACTGCTCCCAGAAAAGTAATTAGCCACCTTGCCAGGCTCTGTTTGCTTCTTGACTCACTCTGAGCTTATCTGTTGCTAACCTGAGATGTGTAATTACATCATAAAAATGGCTGCAGTGAGGGAATTGTAGTGAACACCTCCCTGTCAGAGCCTGTGTGATTTACAACCATCCCCACAATCTATGATGAAACAAGGAACAGAATTATGGGATGTACCCAAGGATACAGAGGAGTCCCAGGAACAAGTCAGGACCGGGATCCATAAATCCTAACCTCAAAGCCTTGTGTTTATCCAAGCATAACTCACACTCTGCAGAACTGCCCTCTGCTCATGGAGCAACCCTGAGGGAACCCCTGAGGTGTCCCTGCCTCAGGGAGTGCTGCTGCTGACCCACCTCTGAGGTAGAAGGAGAGGAAGTGGTGCACCAGGAAGCTGCCATCTGTCTGGGTGTCTCGCAGCAGTGTGAATTTACCCTGGGAGAAGAAGCAAAATAACACAGTAAGGTGAGGGCACAAACTGCTGCTGGTAGACAAGATGTTGGCTCAAGCTGCAGGAATTCTGCAGGTGCTAGTCAGAGGAAGAAGTGGACAAACAGAGCTCCAGCTGCCTGTTTACAAAGGGAAGGCAGCACTTCCTCCAGACACAGCCCACGGGGAGGCATCTGAACCACAGCATTGCTAAGGCTGGAAAAGCCCTCTGAGCCCATCAAGCCCAGCCATTAACCCAGCTCACCCACTGACCCAGCACTGCCGAGCTCACCACTGAACCACAGCCCCACGTGCCCACCAGCTAAAAACCTTTGTGCTCAACTGCAAGCCCAGCTGGACGCCCAGGTCTGTGCCCAGCAGGTGCAACAAGGGACGTGCAGCACGGTGTCCCCAGTGCTGCCACAGCCGGAGCCTCTGGTGCTGGACACCATCAAAGGGGTTCTGGGCAGTTTCACCTCCCAGCTTTGTGCCCTCTCCTCCAGTTCATCAAGGCATCTTTCTTCTCCCAGTGGCAGGGGAACAACAGCCACTCACTCACTCCATTCCCAGCCATTCTGCCCCTGCCACAGCCAGCATGGCCAGTGTGTTTCAAATGCCAGCACCCCCAGGGCTGCTGCTCCTCCTGTGCCCAAACAGCCCTCCCTGGACGCCCTTCCAGGTTTACTTCCAGTGTGCCACCTTCGGGGTAGAAAACCTTATCACCCAAATTCTGTAGTGCAGCAGCTCTCTCAGCACAAGGTATAAACCTTGTTTTGATCAGGCAGGAAATTAATTCTGTTCATTAGTGCGCGCTCATTATCAGCCCCAGCCTCATCAAGGTGTTTGTTTCCATTAAAATCTCAGTCAGGATGTTTCTTTAATCAATACAAATCATAGATGAGCTGCTTGGAAACACAAAGAACTTATCAAAGTGGGAGGTTTTTCTACTCCCAAAACACAAAAAGCCTTTCACAGCAACAAGCCCTCTCTGCACAGGCAGTTCCCAAGCCAGCCATCAGAACAAACTCCCCGGTGCCTAAAGCCTGAAGCAGAGTGAATGCAATGGCAAACATGGAACTTGACTGCAGGGAATGCAAAGCAGAGGCCAGGGCAGGGAAGCCGGGGTGAGGGCTCTCCCCACCAAAAAACTTATGCCTCAATGGCCACTGCAGTGACAGGGACACTGCCCCAGGAGGAGACTTGTGCTCAAACAGCACAAACCCAGACGTTCAGGGATTTATCTTCTGCAACTCCACCCCACCAGACCCCGGGAAGAGCAGGCTGAGCTCCTGGAGGCTGTGCTGGCACGGTGGGATTTGTCACTCTGCTCACACGGCATCCTGTAGCTTCTCCCCCGTGAACCCCAGCCCGTTGTGTCCGTGCTCTGCCCTCACACGCTCAACACCTGCAGGCTGCGAGGCAGAAGCTGCAGCTACTTGTTAGGAACTGGTGTCACAACCGCAGGGTGACACAGCAGCCACACCCAGAGCCACGGCCGCACTGGCAGCAGCTCCTGGCAGCCGAGCAGGACTTGCACACACATCTGCTCATCGTTTACTACCAGAGCAAAGCAGATTCAGCACCACGAGTACCGCAGAAGGCGCTCCCCCACTCCAGCCACGCTGCTGTGACACTGGAACCGGGATGGGACGGGCCAGCTCGATCCAGGGGAACTCCTCACACAGACGGGCCTTGGTCGGCTCCTGCTCCGGCTGCCAAGTCCAAACCCAGCGTCCCGAGGCCACATCTTGGGTTTTCGCCCTGTGGAATTTCCTGCTCACACCAAGGTGAGCTCCTTGCCTCAGAACCAAGCTCGTGGGTGACCATATTGCTGTTCAGCGCAGAGCTCCACCACCAAACACACCTTAGAGCACTTCTCCCTCACGTGCATTAAAAACCCAACACCAACCCACAGGAACCACGGGGCTTTGGGACTTTGCACACTCAGACTGTCCTTTACTACCACCGAGCCTCAGCCAACACCTCCACCAAGTCTGCTTTGAGGTCAAAACACCATCCCAAATTCCCCTCGGTACTGTTTGCCCATCAGCCAGCCTGACAAGGAATGACCTTCCAGATGAAGGAGAAACCTCCCCTATTCCCATCACAAGCTGGTAGTAGGGCAAGGGGGAAACTGGAGACAAAGGGGGAAACCCAGACTTATAAATTATCGCCCCAAGCTTGCTTTTATTATCTAAGCTCGTGACTGCAGGAAAAACATGGAGTAACATGCAGCACATGGATGATTTATTAATAATTGATGACACCAAGCTGGTGGTGTGATCACACACCAGAGGGACGGGATGGGGCATCCAGAGGGACCTGGAGAAGCTGACAGAGTGGGTTCATGGCAACTTGGACCCACGAGGTTCAACAAGGCCAAGTGCAAGGGTCAGGACAACCCCCAGAATGAGCAAAGGATGGGGGATGGAGGGATGGAAAACAGACAAGCTGCTCCAGGTCTGGGCAAGCTGGGAGGCTTACCTGGAGAGGAGAAGCTCCAGGGACAGCTCAGAGCCCCTTGCAGGGCCTGAAGGGGCTCCAGGAGAGCTGGAGAGGGGCTGGGGACAAGGATGGAGGGACAGGACACAGGGAATGGCTCCCACTGCCAGAGGGCAGGGCTGGATGGGGGATTGGGGAGGAATTCTTGGCTGGGAAGGTGGACAGACCCTAGAATAGAATTCACAGAGCAGCTGTGGCTACCCCTGAAGCACCCAAGGGCAGGCTGGACGGGGCTTGGAGCAGCCCAGGATGGAGGAAGGTGTCCCCACACAGGACAGGAGGCAGGACTGGATGAATTCAGCTCCTTCCATCCCAAACCACTGTGCGATTCCATGACTGACATTTCACCTGCACAGCTCTCACAGAGACCGAAGCTGTTTAGCTCCTGCGTGACTTCATTATCACAAAACCTCCCTGGAAAAGCTACATTGGTTAATTTAATGCCCTAAATGACAAGTATCGCTAGATCAGCTCCCCGGTCCGGAGCAGCGCGGGTTTAACGCCCAGTTCTGTGTTTATTCCCCGCACAGGAGCACAGACACAGGGCAGGAACGGAGCTCGGCCGCTTCTCAGCGGCGGGTGCCGGACCCAGCGCCGTGAGAGGCGGCGGGAGCCGGGAACGGAAGGTGGAAGGGCCGATGTCGGCTCAGCTCTGGGACCGGCCACCGCCTCCGCAAGCCGTGCCCCTCCCAGCGTGCCCGGCCGCTGCCGGCCCGTCCCTCCCGCCCTCTCGGTGCCCTCTCGGTGCCCTCTCGGTGCCCTCTCACCGCGTCCGGGCGCTCCGGGGCGGCCCCGAGCAGCTCGTTCAGCTCCGCCAACATGGCGGCGCCGTGAGGGGCCGGCAGCGCTGAGGGGCCGGCAGCGCTGAGGGGCTGCGCATGCGCCGCGCGGGGGCGCCCCCCCATGGCGGCTGCGGCCACTGCGGCCCCGGGGGCGGGGCGGGAGGGCAATTAACGGGCTGGGGGGGTAATTAATGGGGTTAAACGGGTAATTAATGGGGTTAGATGGGTAATTAACGGGCTGGAGGGCAATTAACGGGGCTGGATGGGTAATTAATGGGGTTAGATGGGTGATTAACGGGGCTACATCGGTAATTAATGGGGTTAGATGGGTAATTAATGGGGCTGAATCAGTAATTAATGGGGTTAGATGGGTAATTAGCAGGGCTGCATCGGTAATTAACAGGGCTAGATCGGTAATTAATGGGGCTGGATGGATAATTAATGGGGTTAGATGGGTAGTTAACAGGGTGGGATCGGTAATTAATGGGGTTAGATGGGTAATTAATGGGGTTAGATGGGTGATTAATGGGCTGGATAGGTAATTAGCGGGGCTGGATGGGTAATTAATGGGGTTAGATGGGTAATTAGCGGGGCTGGATGGGTAATTAATGGGGCTGGATGGGTAATTAACTGGGCTAGATCAGTAATTAATGGGCTGTATGGGTAATTAATGGGGCTGGATCAGTAATTAATGGGGTTAGATGGGTAATTAGCAGGGCTGCATCGGTAATTAACAGGGCTAGATCGGTAATTAATGGGGCTGGATGGATAATTAATGGGGTTAGATGGGTAGTTAACAGGGTTGGATCGGTAATTAATGGGGTTAGATGGGTAATTAATGGGGTTAGATGGGTGATTAATGGGCTGGATAGGTAATTAGCGGGGCTGGATGGGTAATTAATGGGGTTAGATGGGTAATTAGCGGGGCTGGATGGGTAATTAATGGGGCTGGATGGGTAATTAACTGGGCTAGATCAGTAATTAATGGGCTGTATGGGTAATAAATGGGGCTGGATCGGTAATTAGCGGGGCTGGATCGGTAATTAGCGGGGTTGGATCTGCAATTAGCGGGGCTGGAGCACCCAATAATGCGGCTGGGTCCGCGTCTCACCATCAATTAAAGCAGCTGGATCCTCACCCGTGTGGTTAATTAAAGTGCTAAATGGGACTGGATCCTCATCAGGTCATTAATTAATGGGGTTGGATCCCCATCCCGTGGCTGGTTAACGGGGCTGGATCCCCATCCTGGTTTTGGTTAACGGGGCTGGATCCCCATCCCATTGTTAGTTAATGAGGCTGGATCCCCATCCCATTGTTGGTTAACGGGGTTGGATCCCCATCCCGTCATTGGTTAACGGGGCTGGATCCCTGTCCTGTCACTGGTTAACGGGGCTGGATCCCCATCCCATTGTTGGTTAACGGGGCTGGATCCCCATCCCATTGTTAGTTAATGAGGCTGGATCCCCATCCCATTGTTGGTTAACGGGGTTGGATCCCCATCCCGTCATTGGTTAACGGGGCTGGATCCCTGTCCTGTCACTGGTTAATGGGGCTGGATCCCCATCCCGTGGCTGGTTAACGGGGTTGGATCCCCATCCCATCATTGGCTAACGGGGCTGGATCCCCATCCCATTGTTAGTTAACGGGGCTGGATCCCCATCCCGTCATTGGTTAACGGGGCTGGATCCCCATCCTATCGTTGGTTAACGAGGCTGGATCCCCATCTCATCATTAATTAACGGGGCTGGATCCCCATCCCATCGTTGATTAACAGGGTTGGATCCCCATCCCGTTGTTGGTTAACGGGGCTGGATCCCCATCCCGTCGCTGGTTAACAGGGCTGGATCCCCATCCCGTGGTTAGTTAACGGGGCTGGATCCCCGTCCCATCGTTAGTTAACGAGGTTGGATCCCCATCCCGTTGTTGGCTAATGGGGCTGGATCCCCATCCCATCATTAGTTAATGGGGCTGGATCCTTATCCCATCATAATTAATGGAACTGGATCCCCATCCCATCATTAGTTAATGGGGCTGGATCCCCATCCCGTCGCTGGTTAACGGGGCTGGATCCCCATCCTGTTGCTGGTTAACGGGGCTGGATCCCCATCCCGTGGTTGGTTAACAGGGCTGGATCCCCATCCTATTTTTGGTTAACGGGGCTGGATCCCCATCCCATCACTGGTTAACGGGGCTGGATCCCCGTCCCATCACTGGTTAACAGGGCTGGATCCCCACCCCGTTGTTGGTTAATGGGGCTGGATCCCCATCCCGTCGCTGGTTAACGGGGCTGGATCCCCGTCCCATTGTTGGGTAACGGGGCTGGATCCCCGTCCTGTTGCTGGTTAACGGGGTGGATCCCCATCCCATCATAATTAATGGAACTGGATCCCCATCCCATCATTAGTTAATGGGGCTGGATCCCCATCCCATTGTTGGTTAACGGGGTTGGATCCCCATCCCGTGGCTGGTTAATGGGGCTGGATCCCCATCCCATCATTAGTTAACGGGGCTGGATCCCCATCCCATAGTTAATTAACGGGGCTGGATCTCCATCCCGTGGTTGGCTAATGGGGCTGGATCCCCATCCCGTCGCTGGTTAATGAGGCTGGTCTCAGGGTGCCACCTGCCCCTTTCCACACAAAAGAATTGCGTTCCTGTGGCAGATTGAATCACTCTGGGACACTCTGGGACATTATTTGGGGTATTTGTCAGGGCTCTGTTACTCTCTCACTATTTCCTCTTTTGTTACCAGCACATTTGGGAATTGCTGAATATCCATCAGGCACCTAAAAATGATCTGTATTAACAGCAAATTTACAGCCCATAACCACCAAAATCCACTTTTTTTTGTGTGACATTTTTTCCTCCGAGCATGAATTTGAGTTTTTTTTTGTGCCAGGGGGACTGGAGAGAAGATTCTGGAGCCCGGGATGTGCCAGGGGAGCTGGAGAGCAGGTTCTGGGGCCAGGGATGTGCCAGGGGGACTGGAGAGAAGATTCTGGAGCCAGGGATGTGCCAGGGGAGCTGGAGAGAAGATTTTGGAGCCAGGGATGTGCCAGGGGGATTGGAGAGAGAATTCTGGATCCACAGATGTGCCAGGGGAGCTGGAGAGAAGATTCTGGAGCCAGGGATGTGCCAGGGGGACTGGAGAGAGGATTCTGGAGCCAAGGATGTGCCAGGGGAGCTGAGAGCAGGTTCTGGAGCCAGGGATGTGCCAGGGGGATTGGAGTGAGGATTCTGGATCTCGGGATGTGCCAGGGGACTGGAGAGCAGGTTCTGGAGCCAGGGATGTGCCAGGGGGATTGGAGTGAGGATTTTGGAGCCAGGGATGTGCCAGGGGGATTGGAGAGAGGATTTTGGAGCCAGGGATGTGCCAGGGGGGTTGGAATGAGGATTTTGGAGCCAGGGATGTGCCAGGGGGACTGGAGAGAAGATTCTGGATCCTGGGAGGTGCCAGGGGGACTGAGAGCAGGTTCTGGAGCCAGGGATGTGCCAGGGGGATTGGAGAGAGGATTCTGGGGCCAGGGGTGTGCCAGGGGGATTGGAGTGAGGATTTTGGAGCCAGGGATGTGCCAGGGGGATTGGAGTGAGGATTTTGGAGCCAGGAATGTGCCAGGGGAGTTGGAGAGAAGATTCTGGAGCCAGGGATGTGCCAGGGGAGCTGGAGAGAGGATTTTGGAGCCAGGGGTGTGCCAGGGGGATTGGAGTGAGGATTTTGGAGCCTGGGATGTGCCAGGGGGACTGAGAGCAGGTTCTGGGGCCAGGGATGTGCCAGGGGGATTGGAGTGAGGATTTTGGAGCCTGGGATGTGCCAGGGGGATTGGAGAGAGGATTTTGGAGCCAGGGATGTGCCAAGGGGATTGGAGAGAAGATTTTGGAGCCAGGGATGTGCCAGGGGGGCTGGGAGCCCCGCTCCGCTCCCTGGAGCTCGGAGATGCTCGGGGCCCTGCGCTGGAGCGGAATTCCTCCAGCGGGGACAGAGCCTGGCCCCGTCCTGGCTCCCGGCTCCCCGCGCTTGTGAGAGCCCGTTCTGCCGGGCAGGGGCTCCCCGGGCCGGGGGGGCTCCAGAGGGGCTCCGGAGGGGCTCTGGAGGGGATCCGGAGGGGCTCTGGGGGGGCTCCGGAGGGGATCTGGAGATGCTCCGGAGGGGATCTGGAGATGCTCTGGTGTTCTGGAGGGGCTCTCGAGATGCTCCAGAGGGGCTCCAGAGGGGTTCTGGAGATGCTCTGGTGTTCTGGAGGGGCTCTGGAGATGCTCTGGATATGCTCCGGAGGGGCTCCGGATATGCCCTGGAGGAGATGCTCTGGAGGAGATGCCCCGGAGGTGTTCTGGAGGGGCTCCAGAGGGGCTCCAGAGGGGTTCCAGAGGGGCCCCAGAGATGCTCTGATGTTCTGGAGATGTTCTCGAGGGGCTCTGGAGGGGCTCTGGTGATGCTACGGAGGGGCTCTGGAGATGCTCTGGAGATGCCCTGGAGGTGCTCTGGAGATGCCCCGGAGGTGTTCTGGAGATGCTCTGGAGGGGCTCCGGAGATGCTCTGATGTTCTGGAGATGCTCTGGAGATGTTCTCGAGGGGCTCTGGAGGTGCTCTTGTGTTCTGGAGGGGCTCTGGAGAGGCTCCAGAGGTGCTCCGGAGATGCCCCGGAGGTGTTCTGGAGGTGTTCTGGAGATGTTCCGGAGATGCTCCAGAGATTCCCCGGAGATACTCCGGAGATGCCCCGGAGATGCTCTGGAGATGCTCTGGAGATGCCCCGGAGATGCCCCGGAGATACTCCGGAGATGCCCCGGAGATGCCCCGGAGGTGTTCTGGAGATGCCCCGGAGGTGTTCCAGAGGTGCCCCAGAGGTGCCCCAGAGGAGTTCCCACCTGGCTGCATTTGTATGCCAGGGAGCCGTGCTCAGGCTCCTTTGTCTGCGCGGTCACGTTTCCCTCCCTGGGCCGTTTCCCTCACGGCTCCTCAGGAGCCACAGAGCCCCAATGCC